TGTGTGTGTGTGTGTGTGGGAGGTGGGGAAGGCATCTTTTGTTGTTATACCACAGAGGCAATCTAAAGTACAATCACATTGAACTTTGTATTTAAAAAAAGGGAAAGTCAGACTTATAAACCAGCTATGTAAACTTAGCCTCTTGTAGATTTTAGTATACCGTGATCTTAAAAAGAATAAAACTGCATTTAGGCAACTGCATTACAACTTAAATGACAACGTAATTCGACATTTCATAGTACTGTGAATTACTTTCTACTATCACAATATATTTTTTTAATTTTTGTACACAACTTTTTTTTTTATGTTTTACTGACATAAGATGCGCTCTACAGAACTATCCGTACTAAATATAAATTTAATTAAAGAAGAAAAAAAAAAGATAAAAAAAATTATATTTTTAAATTTAAGGTATGGTTATCATATTGTAAGTAAACTGCTGTTATTTTTGAAAATAACGTGAAGTGGGAATTTAACATGGCTTAGCAGGGAGAAAGTGACTATTCCTTACTCACAGAATAGTAAGTAAACTAATTATTTCCTATTCCTTACTCGCAGAATAGTTAGCAAAACTGTATTTATTTCCTATTTATAACTCACAGAATAGTAAGTAAACTGTAATTATTTCCTATTCCTTACTCGCAGAATAGTTAGCAAAACTGTATTTATTTCCTATTTATAACTCACAGAATAGTAAGTAAACTGTAATTATTTCCTATTCCTTACTTCGCAGAATAGTTAGCAAAACTAGTTAGAAATAGGAAATAATTACACTATTCTGTGAAGTAAACTGTAATTATTTCCTATTCCTTACTCGCAAATCTGGATTTCCAAGAACAGCAAGATGAATATAAGTAATGCTGCAACAAATGCTCCAAAGACTTGCCAAACAGCTATTTCCCTCTCCATTCCAAGAGGTGATATGAACCATCCCCTGGAAGAAGGCTTACTTGGGCTCAGCCCTTCTGGTACACTGAGTTTCTGAAAGAAAAAAAAACTGAAATTAAGCAGTTAAAAAAAAAAGAGATTTGTCATTACTAAAATAATCATTAACCTTATATAACACCAACATGATAACATAAATATCTGCAAATTCGTGACAACACAAAGTTTGGGAACAAGAATACTGAGGGTTAATCACATTTGATGTTTCATGCCCTTCACCACCCTTGGAACTATTAATTCAATCATTCATAGTACTGAATTTGTTAACCAGGATCTCGCACTACAGCATATCATCACAGTTTTTACTCTAAAAAGCTTCTGCAAAGGATGACACATTTATTTTTGGATTACACACATCTCAATCAAAGTTTCGACATTATTTAAAAAAACAACTTTCCAAGCAAAATTTCATATTTTATCACATTTGTACATATGTATGTATATACGACAAGCAAATATTTCAACTTTTCCTCATCATTTTATGTACTTTATGCTACAGCCTACTTTAGAGTAAGGTACTAGAGGGAAAGATCTTGAAACAAGGACACTGCGATTTGAAGGTAGGCAATAAATTGTATTTGTATTCATAAAGAAGAGTAGGTCTAATCTGTCATAAAATATAATGAATTAGACAATTATCACTATATAAAATAACACATAGTGACTAAGATTAACCTATAATATACCAATAACTCGCATAGCTAAGCAGCATGACTTGAGTGTGCATTTGCAGGTTCTGAGATGAAAAAAAGTCGGAAGATGTTCCCAACTTTCCCAGGCTTGTCCTATGTGAGGACAGTGAAGCAGACCAAAGGCACCAATGTTTATAGAAGCTACATCAGGGAACTTCAAAATAATATGTCTTAATGAGACTGCTGTGGTTCCAGTTTCTTTGGTATCTTTCTCATGTAAACAGCTGTTGATTTAAGTGTCAATTGGGAACTTGTTAACCTTTTACATGTGAGCTTTCATCAGTTTCACTGTAATGGTTTTTTGGACTGGAGGATTCAGCTAAGACAGCTTTATTTTCCTAACAGGGGGGGTTGGCCTTTGGAAGAGGTTGTGTTCAAATGTGGTAGACACAGTTAATATAAGGGAGTTTAAGGAAAAGCTTGATAAATATTTGAATTAGAAGGGCTGACTGAGTTTTTTAGTTTCTAGTTTAATTTAGTGGATAGGATTGCCTAGATGGAACAAGAGGTTCCTTGATGTCCTTTAATGTTATGTTATTTTCAGAAGACAAATTGCTCTAGATGGGCTTAGATGTGATTTCAAAGTTTGTTGTCATCTTAAACTCTCTGCTGTACAAGCTTCTCTGGTAAATACTGAAATTGTCATTGTTTAACAATCTCATTGTAGATACACTCTTCATTAGAAAGGGTTTTAATATTTCCTTACCATCCTAAGTTGTTGCAAGAATTTGCCATGAATCAGATGATGACACACCACTGTATATGCAAACTGGTTTAAAAACTCGGGATAACCTCCGGTGTTACAATTATTACAACTTTTATTACATAATGTACTTTCAACAAGTTCAAAACTTCACTACATGTCTGATAATAGTAGTTGTGTGACTGGTTGATGGGTAGTGTGTGATACATAATGTACTTTCAACAATTATCACACACTACCCATCAACCAGTCACACAACTACTGTTTTCAGACATGTAGTAAAGTTTTGAACATCAATTACTTTCAACAATTATCACACACTACTCATCAACCAGTCACACAACTATTATCAGACATGTAGTGAAGCTTTGAACAAAATGTACTTTCAACAAGTATCACACACTACCCGTCAACCAGTCACACAACTACTATTGTCAGACATGTAGTGAAGCTTTGAACGAAATGTACTTTCAACAATTATCACACACTACCCATCAACCAGTCACACAACTACTATTATCAGACATGTAGTAAAGTTTTGAACATCAATTACTTTCAACAATTATCACACACTACCCATCAACCAGTCACACAACTACTTTTATCAGACATGTAGAGAAGCTTTGAACATAATGTACTTTCAACAAGTATCACACACTACCCAACCAGTCACACAACTACTGTTTTCAGACATGTAGTAAAGTTTTGAACATCAATTACTTTCAACAATTATCACACACTACTCATCAACCAGTCACACAACTACTGTTTTCAGACATGTAGCAAAGCTTTGAACATAATGTACTTTGAATAAGTAGCTTTGGAACTAAAATAGCTACAGAATAAAAAATCCACCATAAACTTATTCCATCTAACATATGATGAAATATATTATCATGGTGTCAGTTATATCAAAAGCAGTGGTTAAGGCACGTTTCCTGTTTATGTCATTTATTCAACTTGTGAAATATCATGAAAATCCTAAAGAATTTAAACTTTAAGTCTTGAAAATAAAGACCAACCTGGTTATCATATACAGGAGTGAAAAAATGTATTAATCACTTGGAACATCTGAAAAATATGATTTAATCCGGATATTGAACAAATAGTTGGTTTAATCCGGATATTGAACAAACAGTTGGTTTATTCTTGATATTGAACAAACAGTATGAAAGTGAAGGCATTCATCAACATCCTACAATAAGCCTTTTTTATAATTATTCTGTTTTAATAATCAGTTAAACAGATGGTACTTTAAAGTCATCTTGTGTCAAATGTGGACACGATTTTTCATCTTTAAAGTAATAAAGCCAGAATCCAAATTACCATGAAAACTATAATATTTAACTTATATAAATGATAATGAAGAATAAATTGACACATCTAAACACATCCTAGTTTATTTTCTGCAACGTTTCGAGCTGATGACCTTCATCAGGCAGTATTGGTCTTTATTGCCTGATGAAGGGCATCTGCTCTAAACATCACAGAAAATAAACTGGAAAAAGTTTTCATTTAGACATTTCAATTTATTCTTGACTATCATTTATCCAAGTTTTTCTTCTCACATAAATATTTAACTTACCTGTGTGTAGCTATTCTTAATGTTAGAGTCGATAATCACCATCAAGATAATAGCTATTGGCACTCCAAAGTCCCCAAGAGCTCTTCGAACCTGTGACAGAAGACAGTCTAAGTACCTACAAAACTATTTTACATAAACAAAAACAGTCTGATTGACTACTGACTGTAAAGTACAAATAAGTTAACTTTAAAATATTAAGGAAATAAAAAAAAACAGTTGTTAATTCCAAGGTTTTACTTCATAATCAAAATGGTCTCTTCAAAAGTTCAACAAATACTACCATTTTATACTTTACATAGAAACAAATTGTTGGTGACAGCTCGTTATTACACAAACACGAAAAAATGAAAGCAGTCTAACTGTACCCTTTTTGTCCTTGTATTTTTCTTTGAATCTTTTAGAAAAAAAATATTCATATTACACCTTTAAAATTAGGTTTTAAGAACATAAGGTTTTACTTAACTGGATTCATTAGTTATACCAAGAGTTCTAACATTTCTTTAGCTGTTTAAAAAAATAAATTTTTATTTTACCACTTCTTCAGTATCTACACAATTTATGTGCCTCTAATTATTTCATCTGGTAGCTTGGATTGTAAAATCACTGATGCTACTTAATGCAATAGTTTTTTAAATCTCTTACATATCTTTTTGATATATACTATCCTAGCTCTAATTAATATTTTAAATTATCTGCTTATTACACTAATCTGGTGTGCTTTTAATGTGATTTAGAAGAAATTAAATAGTATCAGTTGCACAAAATACTATGATAAATGCAAAGTTAAATTTGGAAGTAGAGAAAACATTACAATGTTGTTGGTCATAATTTACACCATATTTAAATTTTTTCTTCCAGGAACTGAGATTGGAGTAATCTGAAGAAGTGAAAACATCATAAGATTTTTTGTTTGTTTTGAATTTCATGCAAAGCTACACGAGGGCTATCTGCGCTAGCCGTCCCAAATTTAGCAGTGATAGACTGGAGGGAAAGCAGATAGTCAACACTGTAAACTCTTAGGCTACTCTTTTACCAACGAATGGTGGGATTGACCGTCTCATTATAATGCCCCCACAGCTGAAAGAGCGAGCATGTTTGGTGTGACGGGGATTAGAACCCGCCACCCGCAGATTGCGAGTCGAGCGCCCTAACCACTTGGCCATGCCGGGTCCACAAGATTGTTGGTCATAATTTTGTGTATTACAATATTAATTTATGCTATTGCTCTCAGAAGCCGAGATTCGAATAATCGTTTTATGTTTGAACACTAGTGAGATAATACTTGAGTGTGAATCTGTAATGTTCCTAAGAATATAAATCTTGTAAATTAAGGAATGGTTTTTATTTTGTATGTATTTGTAAGAGATTATTTATTAGATATTGAAAACTTTTTTAAAGCTGTTTAAACTTTAAGTAACAACTGTTCAGTAATGTCTTTGTTCTGCTGAGATTTTTATTACTGTGGTTTTATGATATTCAAGTTTAGTGATAGTTGTTCAATTTCCTTGAATATGTTCCACACAGTAGTAACTTAAATTACAGTGTACTATATATATATGATCATGATCAACACAACTGTAATGGTTTCTATTTTTTAAATAATTCAAGTCTCATTTCATGATGACAATAATATAACATTACGATGTAGTACAAAATATTTTATCTCTCTGTCATTCATGAATGTTATAGATTTATACTCAAGTATTCAAGTAGTAGTGTTCACACATAAAACTTAACGAATGTCACAGATTTATATTCAAGTATTCACATAGTAGTGTTCACACATAAAACTTAACGAATGTCATAGATTTATACTCAAGTATTATCTCACTAGTGTTCAAACATAAAACTCATGAATGTTATAGATTTATACTCAAGTATTCAAGTAGTAGTGTTCACACATAAAACTTAACGAATGTCACAGATTTATACTCAAGTATTCACATAGTAGTGTTCACACATAAAACTTAACGAATGTCATAGATTTATACTCAAGTATTCACATTGTAGTGTTCACACATAAAACTTAACGAATGTCATAGATTTATACTCAAGTATTCACATAGTAGTGTTCATACATAAAACTTACGAACGTTATAAATTTATACTCAAGTATTCACATAGTGTTCTACACAT